TTTTTTTTTTTCTTGTGTGTGTGTGTGTGTGTGTGTTCTTTAGGGTATATCTGTATTCAGTTTCGACGTATTTGGACCAGTAACGAAAGCCTTGTCTAAAACACCGAATTCGGAGAAAAATTGGCGAACTCCGAAAGTTACTGCAAATAGGGGTTTATATTGCTTTTGAGTTTGTTTGTTTGTTTCGTTTTCTTTGGCCTTTCTTTTTATGTGTATAAAACTTCGTATTATGAGCATGCATTGTTTGTTAGCGAAATTTTCGTGGACATTGCTTGTGGTGATGCGGCGAAAAACCCCGAATTTTGGGCCTTCCATTAACCATCTCTCCCCTCCTCCCCCACTGCTGCTCAAAACTCAGAAAGTATGTTGGCGCTGGATTCTTATCCTACTCTTTATGGTCAGTTGAGCAGCAGAGAGGGGTTGTTGTGGGGGGGGGAGGGCGAGGGAGGGGGTACGTAGCAAAACGTTTGAGTGTTGGATTTGCAGCGTGGGTGAGAGAGGCACCTCGGTACCCTGGAAGACTTTACGGTGATGGCATTAGTGCTCCCCCCGCTTCCCCTCCCCCACTGCAAATTCTGTTCAGTTGAGGTCATCAAGAGGTCCTGAGGTTGTTCCTGAGGCTGTTACAAATGTTTAGAGGGAAGAAGTCTCTTCCTCCCATATATGTATATCTATATCTATATCTATATATATCCCTAGGGGATAGCTGCACGAGGGAATGGTCACATGGTGGGCAATGGGTGATGACGGAAAGAGAAGAGAAGCATGAAGAATGCCACATCAATCAAGTTCATCGCTGTAATGAGGAGAATGTGTCTCCGACCGACGTGTGTTCAGCAGTGTAGCTGTGAAATGTCTTCAGCTGAGCATGATGGCTGGTGGTGGATCTAATGGACTAGAATGACATGGATTCGCTGTTCGCGTGTACAGTAAGTCTCTGGACTACCCTCCAGGATTGGTCGCTGGTCGAACAGCCGCAACTTACAGTCTGTTCTGCTTCCAAACTGACAGACAGTGACAGTTATTTCAACCTGCAGAAGTGAATGAATGAATCGAATGTAGTGACCAAGTGCATGCATGTGATTAGATTTGCTTCAGCGACGAAACATGGCAGCGCCAAGTGGTGCCGCAGTGCCTATTCACTCCTCGTACGAGCAGTCATGTTCGTGGAGGCATGTACCCTGTTGCACCACAGCCAGACTGCCCCACTTGTGCACTTCGGAAAGCTCGAGGAATCAAGGATGCAGGCTGGTCTTAGGCCCTCTGCCTGCTGCTGGCCTGGAATTTGAAAAGACCAAAATCTCCCTACCTTCTTCCCCCGAATACAACGTACGGTCATTATAGCTATATTAGGGGTATGTTTCAGTCTAAATACAGCGATAACGACCGTACTTTGTATTCGGGGGAAAAAGGTAGTGTCACTGTTGACTGAAGTCAAAGCAATTTTGACCCACTATGCTGGTGTCACCGTTGACTGAATTTGAAAATATCAAAACCTCCCTGGTGTCACCGTTGACTGAAGTCGAACTGTCGAAGCAAATTTGTCAAAACTTTTTTTCTGCAATTCGCAAATCGCTGTGTTCTTCATCGTTGCCGGGGCCAAGATATTTGTTTGCCTAAATTTGCCGAGCGATTTTGACCTAGTATGCTGTGTGCAAGCCTGCAATGTGAAATTGAAGATTGATGATTAAACATTGCAGCTCGGCGGCAGTTCCCGTATTTTCAACGGAAGATGGCATTGTGTGATCAGCAAGATAAGAGTCGGCAGTTGTGGTGTTGGTGTTGGTGCCGGTGATGCTGTCTGTGTCTGTGTTCAGCACTCGGAGCGGCAGTGCTTACTTCAGCTTGTAGGAGTCATTCTTGTTAGTGGAGCAATAGCAACAGGGGTGGTGGTGGTGGTGGTGGGCCTGGCGGAAGCAGCATTGGCATTGGCAATATAAAGAATGAAGTGGGTGTTTTCTCGACTCGCGGTGGGCGATTGGGGAGTTTCAGGGTAGTGGCGGTGGGCGATTGGGGAGTTTCAGGGTAGTGGAGAGGGAGGGAGAAAAATCCGAGCAATTGAGCGCAATAGCAAAATGCCAAAAAAAAAGGACTAGCGCAGAGTCTGTGCGCAAAGCTGAGAGCAGATATCTCGTAATACAGTATTCGATGTTTCCTTTTTTGGTTAAGAGAGTGTAAGCAGATAAGTCGTGTTAATTGGCGTACTCCCCAATGAATTACGCCTTTTCTTTTTCCGTTAATAGAAGCACGCTTGAATTAACTACGTAATCGTCTGGTCGTGAAATCAGCAGCGAAAAAGAACAAAACAAAATAATGTTTATGCAACTTAATGGCTATCACCACTCCTCAACAAGTAATGAAGTGATTCTCTCTCCCAAGTTTTACTTGCTTTCCTTTTCCTTTTCTTTTTTTTTTTCCTTTTTTTTTTTTTTTTTTTTTTTTTTTTTTTTTTTTTTTTTTTTTAACTTTCTTTCTTTTTTTAAGGCCCTTGTGGCAGCCTTCTATTCAAGCGGTGGTACGAGAACCACCAGGATTGAAGGCTTGTCTGTAGGGCTGCTCCATCTATTGGTGGGGAGCGGCACCTGCTGGAAACCGGATCCAGCGTCCCATTCATACATCTCGTAGCTCAGCAATTGTTGATGATTGTTTCCTGGGGCTGTGGTTGTTTGTCTTGCTGGTCGGGGACTCCATTGTCCCATGGAGCTGCAAAAAGGTTGGCAATTTATTGGGTTCTTTTTGTTTTCTTTTGGATGATTGGCAATGTGGTATGTGTGGCAATAGGTGTGGGGTGAAATAGATGTCGCAAGAAAAAAGCGGGAGGAGGGGGAGGGGGAACAAGGGGCAAAGGAGGTTAGAAAGGGGCACTGGTTTTCGTTCATATCTTACTAATAAACAGTGCCCCTTAGAAAAAGGAGAAAAAGGAGACGGGGATCAGAAGGAACAATAATAAACAAGAAAAAAACTCTTACTCGTATTAAGGATAAAACATATCCGTTAAAATAAGACATTATATTGTGTCCTCTTTTACACAAATTCATTTTAGGCTGCAGCCTAAGTAAAGTAGGCATGCCCATCCTCTCGCCCGAGACGGTTGTTTGATGAGATCTGGACTTGTTTAAAATTTTGATGAGCAAGGTCGTCGTTGAATCCTTGTTGGATTTTTTTTTTTTTTTTTCGTATCATGATTAAGTACTGTAACAGTTATAGTAAGTTTAAGATGTCCACCAACAATATGAAAAGTTTGACATATGTTGAGGGACAATGGGTTCTGGTATCATCGACTATATGAATAATGAGATAATTTTCACATGCATGTTTTTTTTGCTATGACTTCGGTCATATTACACAAAAACTTGCAATTTTGTAGACTATCAATGAAATCCGTATCAACTTGTTAATTTGTCACACATAAGAGTTTTGGATATCAATGAAAACTGTAAGTTGTTAATGTATGAGTCACGTGGCTTTTGAATGGATGTACACGTAAAATATTTAGTGATCTTTGAACAATGAATCGAACATTTAGATTGTAATTTTGTACATTGTCGATGAAATTCGCACCGAGTTTTTAATTTGCCACATTTAAGAGATTCATATATGAATCTAAAGTTGTCAATTATATGTAATGTAGGAAGTCACAAGGCATCTGGATGGATGTACACGCAAGAGACTTTGTGACCTTTGCATAATCAATTGCATACTCATTTGATATTGTCGAATTCTGACTTACATCCTCATTTCACTTTGTCATATTACACACAAAGTTCGAATATATAATGTAAACGATATTCGCACTTTGGGTTCTCCTACGCTGCGTAGCACGGCGAACGTGTTCGCGCCCCTTCATGTTCGCGCGTTTGCGCGAACATTTTCGGGCGAACATATTTTTTTTTGTAAAAAAATAAAAATAAAAATTATTAAATAAAAAATTTTGGTTTTTGATTTTTAACTCTTTATTGGCTACGAATTTGAACATGAATCCAAGGCAAAAGTTGCTTGTATTGTTATTTAAACTTATTTTATATAATGTATATTTTTTATAGAGTTTTTTGAGAATTTTTTTTTTTTTAAATATTTTTTTATGATCGCGTTCGGAGGGTTTTGGGCGCTTGTTCGCGTTCGGGCGAACATGTTTGCGTTCGCCTCCGAACGCGAACGCGGTGCTACATAGCTCCTACGTAAAAATTTGCAACAGGAAATAAAAGCCAAATCTAGACAAAGGCAGTGAGCTTATCACACTTAACGTAAAGACGTAAGAATAAAAGAAAGCAATGACATGCATTTCGTCGAGACCACTGTTTCTTGAACATGCATCACGACTCATTAATGAAGAGAACACTCAGTTTGTCAAAATGAACTTTGGAAGTGCTATGCCAACATCAAAGACAACGAGCTTAAAGTATGCAGGTTGCCAATTGTCAATTGTTGTTTAATATGCGTGGTATCTTTCTAAGAGAATGTGAAAGGTGGTCGATGGTCACGTTGTAAGAGCGTTGCAAACATCAGCATAAACATCCCTCAAGTCGTCCTGTCCACTTGTCTTGAAACTCCTTTCATCATAACATTTGTCTCTATAGACTTCCAACTCT